TACAGGCTGACATCAGGAAATATATAAGGGGCCTGACCAGATACATGGGGGCCTCTGGAACAGCAGAATCAAGTCTCTGGAACAGCAGAATCAAGCCTTTGAGCAACGATTTGCGGCACTGGAGGATGCTCGTCGCAGCAAGTACCTCAAGATCCGCGGCATACTGGACACTGTTCCTGAGGTGGAATTACCGCATCTCTTGCACCACCTGATGGGTGCAACTTTAACCTCCAAAAAGCCAAAATCAGTAAACCTTGATGGCATCCCTAAACCAGTGAAAGTGCGATTCCACAGCGGGCAAGACAAAGCCGCAGTCCTAAATGCAAATAGAGGTTGGTCCCCATACTTCTTTAAAGGCATGAACCTCACCTTTTATGCAGATCTCTCAGGGGGCACCAAGGCATGGCAGAGGTCCCTCCAACTGTTTACCTCCTTCCTGCGCACACATAATATAACATACCAGTGGCCCATGTCCTACATCCTGATGGTACACCATGAAAAAGCCTCTTACCCAGTCAAAAACCTGCAGGTTGAGACGACACTACTGGGGACGCTGAGTCTTCCACCAAACTCTACACCCTTCAAAGCAGCAGTCTGCATTTGAGACCCACACCTGGGACCAGGCAGCTGTCACCCCATTTGTGCCCGGTGGTCCTTCCAGGACACATGCAGCAGTCACGACCTGAGCTCCTAATCTCTGCCCACAGAGACGGGCCTTCAATGCCACTAAATGCCTTCTGCTTATGTTGATTGTTTGTTGTTCCTTTATTTTAGTTGCAAAAATATTCTTCTCCCATGACATAGTGCTCCCTGGCTTATACATTATCTGCACAGTCCATCCCCATCTCACCCTTATCCAGCTCCCGGGTGGGCCATGTGCACCATTACGCCACTTAGCTATGGGCACCACTTATGGCGCTAAGTATAGCACTGAGGCCCTCTCGGAACCTACCTACGGCCAACTAGCTACTAATTGATATTGCATGATAACAAGTACCTACGAAGTCACTATGATGCACGCAACCCAAGGGCTTACTCATACGGTCAAGAATGCACCCAAGGTAGTAATCACCCCAGTCAATACCCAGCCCCCCCAAGGAAGGTGTTACAAGGATATACATAACACACCTTCCTCAAAAGTGCAGATGAAAAATCAACATATTACCACTCGTACCATATCCTTACAGTGTTTCATGTTTCTCACTACTACATAATTGTGCAGTTTTCAGGCAGCTCGTATGCGCCAGCACACACTCTCTAACACTTAATTGTGGTTTATCTCTACCTACCCAAGTAAGACCAAACCAAGTTGTACACGTGTCACTATTTTATTGTAAACTTGCATGTGGCTTATTGTTTAACTTCTCCAAACCAAACAAACAAAAAAAATTGCAGTGACTCATGACATTTACTGTTCTAAATCAGCCTGTAATTTAACACACAATGTTAACGGCTCTTCTTGTCATGGTTCTGATCAGGTCAGACAAGAGACTTATGCCGCGTTTTATTTCAGGTAGTTTATTTGGAATATTATGCATGGTTCAGACAAAAGGAAACAAAATGAATAAACAGGATAAACAGAGAAAAGGAATAATAAAGATAAAAAGGGGGAAAACAGAATTAGAAGTGAGTAAGAAAAATAGACGTTTAGGAAATATGCCCCAAAACAGGAATACAGGAAATAGGAAAACAATTAGTTAAAACTAAACAGGAATATAATGGATAAAGTAAAAAACAGGTTAAAGTAACAGTTGAGGTGATCAGCCTCTTTGGATGGAAAACAGAACTGCAGATTCAGGGCGGATGAGGATACTTGCAAAATGATAAGAAAGTCACTATTATCCAGGCAGGTTGGGAGGAAATCAATATGAAACCAAAGTCCAGTCTAGAAATGAAGCAGGGTTGTATTGGATGAATCAAAATGAGATGAATCAGGATGGTTGTAGGTAAGTAAGGGTGGAGCAGGTTGTCAGGATTCAGTTGAGTCAGGAAAATGTCTTTATCAGTATCAGATTATAACAAATCTCAGTAAGAGCCATGAGCAGAACACAACTTTTCTCTCAATGTAAAGGCCCTGGTGTGAGCAGGGTGTAGCCTTATGAAGCTTCTTAATTTGTCCAGCCAGGTGAGGATGAAAAGGTGACTGATGAGACTAGTAGCTAGGGAGGCCAGTAGAGGCGACAAACAGGTATTGCATGAAATAATAACAGAAGAAAATGAAACATGTTCCTGGTTGTCAGAATAGGATCCTGACACTTCTTGAATGCATATCTGTACGACCAAAATAAAGAATGTAAAAAAAAAAAAGTGCTCAACTTTGAAGTCAACTGTTAGCTTGAAATAGATCATCTAAAGTTTGAGAGACTCGTAACAGATGAGATAGTCACTTCTAAATATATATTTATATTAGGATCTACTAATATGATTTAAGCCAAAAATTAGCCACGCGGTTGAAATTATTCAACTCACCTCCTGAGCTGTGTGACTAAGTACAGTGCCAGAATAAATAATAAACCCCTAATGACCATCGATGATCCACAACTGTCCCACCCCTTTGTTGCTAAATAATGTGCTTATTACATTAGTTTGAACTTTGGACACACACTTGATGTTACTTCTGATTTGAACCATAAAACCTACCTAGATTTAGGCTTTGCCACCCTAAAAAAATCTACAGCTGCCCATTCTGCCAGCCTCTAAATTCTTCACTAATATCGTAATCTCCATTTCAAGAATCTTTCAAATCACTAACAGTGTATCAGTTAACTCTACTCTCATTTTGCCTCCAGTTTTAAACCTCCTCTCTAGTTTCTAAATCCATAGAAACATAGAATGTGACGGCAGATAAGAACCATTCGGCCCATCTAGTCTGCCCAATTTTCTAAATACTTTCATTAGTCCCTGGCCTTATCTTTTAGTTTGTCAGGATTACAGAATGATCCAGCATGTAGAATTGTATAACACAGAGGACTGATAGGTAACGTATACCGGACCTTAGAATGGCTGGACTAATGTACCAAAGAATAGTCAGGAATAGCCGAGGTCAAGGGATACAGAAAGAGACACAACAATAAGGAAAAGCCAGGAGTCAGGGATGCCAGAAAACAGGGAAGTCAAAAACAACGCTTCTAAGGTCAAGCTTAGTAAACACTTTAGCGCCCTGGAGTTTGTCAAATAATTCAGCAATAAGAGGAATGGGGTAGGCGTTCTTAATGGTGATTTTGTTCAATGCCTGTAATTGATACATGGGCGCAACTCACCATCCTTTTTAGATACAAAAAAGAATCCTTCACCAGCAGGCGAGGATGATTTTTGTATATGGGTTTTATTCAATTAATCTTTAATATATTCCTCCATTACACTACTCTCCTGAGGTGACAGAGCATAGCACCTGGTAGTAAGTTAATGGAACAGTCATATGGTCTGTGAGGAGGTAGAGTATTAGACTGAGTCTTGCTGAATACTTCTTTAATGTCTTGGTATTGTATAGGGATCTCGGGATTTTGAGGTGTACTAGTGGGTAATTTAATAGTGCCCACTCTTTTGGTGACATGCAATATGCACCTTTCATTACAATCCTTACCCCATTCTAATATTTCCCCATTAGCCCAGTCAATATGAGGGTTATGCTTGCTAAGCCATGGGAATCCTAATATAATAGGACAAGAAGGAGATGCAATCACCTGAAATTTAATCTCTGCCTTATGTAATGCACCTATGGAAATATTAATGGGTAAGGTTTCATGCGTTATCAATGGTTGTGAGAGTAGTCTCCCATCAATAGCTTCAACATCTAGGGGTGATAGTCTCTCTTTGATAGGTATAGTATTACCTTTGACAAACTGAACTTCGATGAAGTTTCCAGCAGCATCTGAATCCATCAGGGCTTTGCATGAAAAGTTATTTTTGTCAAAGGCGATAGAAATGTCAAGGAGAAACCTATTTTTGATTCTTTTCAGAGGACGTTTCCATTACACCTAAGACCTGTCCCCTTAAGGTGCTTAGGTGCGGCAGTTTTCCGGACGTATGGGACAATTGTTTCTCATATGTCCCTTCCTACCGCAGTATAGACATAGGCCTCCTTTTCTCCTATATTGTCTGCTTCCGACAGTCGAGTGACCCCCAACTGCATGGGTTCGGGTTCGGACTGTACAGGTATTTCAGGGACAATAGGTCTGGAGAAACTGGGTGCTAAATGCATACTCATGCATCTAGTCTTGTTTCTAGTAGCTTCTCTGGTTCTTAATCTATTATCAATCTGCATGACAAAAGTGATAAATTCATTAAGCTTTTTGGGTAAGTCTTTGGCGGCAATCTCATCTAGCATAGTTTCAGATAATCCCTTTTTAAATGCAGAGATTAACACACTATTAGTCCAGTCTACCTCGGAAGCTAGGGTACGAAATTCTATGGCATATTCCGAGATAGACCGGTTCCCTTGTCTGACGTGCATCAGGGCAGTAGAGGCGTCATCCTCTCTGCCTAAAGGTTCAAAGGTAAGTTTGAATTCCATAAGGAACTCCTGGTAATTGTGTGCCACACTCCTATTACTCTCCCATAATGGATTGGCCCAAGCTAAAGCTTTACCTTTTAATTGATTCATTAGGTAACCAATTTTAGCTCTGTCTGTGGGAAAAGATCCCGGTGAGGCCTCAAAATGCTACTACATTTGGTTAATAAATCCCCGGCATTCTTGAATATTACCATCAAAATGCAGGGGAGGAGATAGGGAGATAGTAGGTGCCGTGTGTACCAAAGCTGGAGGTACACAAGGTGGAGGTGAGGCCGCAGGTTGCAGATGCGCTGTTCGGGTAAGAAGCATACTGAAGGCCTGGGCAAATTGATCCATGCGGTGATCATTATCCTCCAGTTTCCTTTCACAAGCAGCTATGTGCTTACACAATTCTACAGGATCTATAGCCCTGTCGTAATGTCAGGATTACAGAATGATCCAGCACGTAGAATTGTATAGCACAGAGGACTGATAGGTAACGTATACCGGACCTTAGAATAGCTGGACTAACATACCAAAGAATAGTCAGGAATAGCCGAGGTCAAGAGATACAGAAAGAGACACAAAGATAAGGAAAAGCCAGGAGTCAGGGATGCCAGAAACCAAGGAAGTCAAAAACAATGCCAAAATCAAATAACCAGAATATAACACGCTCTCGGACAACTACAAGGGAAATACCCCTCCTCTAGATCTGACCCCAAAGGCAGTTACCAGGTTCCCATTTGCTGCTCAGCATTAACCCTTCTGTGAATTTGGTTGCTGCTCGGCACAACTTTTCCTGTGTGGACAGTAAATGCCATTAACCACATTTTTATAAGCGGATGAATACATGACGTAGTTAGGATAGCCTTATGCCTATCTAATTTAAGACTAAGACTCTTGTTGTAGTAGTTTTTTTTTCTTTTAAATATAGTCTCCTCCTTTACTGTGTTGATTCCCTTTATGTATTTAAATGTTTCTATCATATCCCCCCCGTCTCGTCTTTCCTCAAAGCTATACATGTTAAGTTCCTTTAACCTTTCCTTGTAAGTTTTATCCTGCAATCCATGAACCAGTTTAGTAGCCGTTCTCTGAACTCTCTCTAAAGTATCAATATTCTTCTGGAGATACGGTCTCCAGTACTGCGTACAATGCTCCAAGTGAGGCCTCACCAGTGTTCTGTACAATGGCATGAGCACTTCCCTCTTTCTACTGCTAATACCTCTACCTAAACAACCAAGCATTCTGCTAGCATTTCCTGCTGCTCTATTACATTGTCTGCCTACCTTTTAGTCATCAGAAATAGTGATGTCCCGAACGGTTCGCCAGGTTCTTTGACCCTGTACCTCACAGTCAGCAGACACATTCCAGCCAATCAGCAGCAAACCGTTCGGGACATCACTAATCAGAAATAATCATCCCTAAATTCCTTAAATTCAGCAAGCTCTGGGGAAAATTGGGAGAGAACATATGTTTATATTTGAGCATGACAAAGATTCGTATGACAAAAACGACACATCAAAATATAAAAAGAATGTTTATTTTGTTGTACAAGTACCCTATCCATGTACATCATTCTTTGATTAATATAATATACTGCATCAGTAGAAAGACTGAAATTCATATACAAATAATACACTCTATAGTGAGACTATGCTCAAAATAATCCAAAATAGAGCATCAAATCTGACATAATGCTGATGGAGGCATGGTTTCAATAATTTGTCTATAGAGTTGCAGTGTCCCTACTGTGGGTTAACAAAGAGGAATAAGAAAGTAAACAAAAATAAAATTAAAAAACACATGAATTTGGAAACAAACTTGACTTGTCATTTTAAGATTAGAAACACTTCAGGCCGCTGCTGATCAAGATTAACTTTTATAGGAAAATGACTTACATTGCTGAATCAAAAAAAACAACTAGATGGTCTGGCCACATGTAAATTTCTCAAAATAAAATGCCAACATATTTTTTAATAAACGTTATTGAAAAGTTATCTGTTGATGTCGTTTTCATTATTACTTTTTGCTATGTTATTATAATGAAAGATGTGATGCTTGTGTTGAGTTACAGGTGGTTGATGTTCATTTCAAGTTAGTAAACCATGACATACACACAAAATGTTAACTAATTCTTGCACAGAAAGCTATAGGACGGTAGTGGTAGGGAACCACTACCCAGAGAGGATTTATTGGCCTCTGCAGGTGGATCAGATCTCTGAATCAAAGTTTATAATATGTGTCTCCTCTAGAGAGTCTTTTTAAAAACAGTATTCATTATCACCTGGTCAATGGTTTGATTACAGAGATAATCAAATTTAGTAACAAAGTGGTGGTATTGACTGGGGAAACAAATTTCACAACCGTACAAATTAAATTATAAGTAACTAAACTTCCTAATCTATCATATTATATTCAGAGTACTCTTCCCTAACAACTGTCTGATGCTAGCAGTCTGCCACATTAGCCAATAAATAGATTGCATTTTGAGTTTATCATGACATTACTTCTTTAGCTTTTTCTGTGCAGCTTTCTTCTTCACCATTTGCAAGCGCTTCATTGCATTCAATTGAGATTCCTGAGATGTGGGGCCTTTTGCTCCAGACTGCTGATTATTGGGGTCCACGGTCGCTTTGCTACTACTGCTCCCACTGTTTCCTGAAGAATTGCCTCCTCCATTTCCACTAATCAGTTGACTGCTGCTGCCAGATGTGTTTGTGCTTGGACTGGGCAGGCTGGTTTTGCTGACATTGTCACTACTCAAGGAATGACTGAGACCAGGTTTGCCAAGTATAAGAGGTGGCAGAGGTTTAAATGGGATGGTATTAGAGGTGTTGCTGCTAGATCCAGTTTTAGACACTGAACCAGTTTTAGAAGTGGCCATTCCAGATGTACCTGTAGGTTTCTGTCCTGCAGAAAGTGCAGGCGGCTTCCCACTGCTAGACGGTGCTGTTGAACTCAACTTGGCTGATACTGGCGCAGCACTTGCAGTTTTGGCCCCAAATGCAGCCCATCCTGTGAGGCCACTTGCAGCTGTAGATGAGGCTGCAGAACTTGAGGAACTGGAGGACACTGCAGCTGATACCTTAATTCACGACAAAGTAAAAACAAGTATTGGTAAATAATAGCAAGAAACATACTCATCTTGAACAATTGTAAACCCATGATAAAGAATTATAAGGACAACTTTTTCAGTGGAAAATATGAAGTAGGATTAGGGAATACTAAAGCGTTATTTATAATGCTAGACTGTTGTTTAGACTTGTGGGCCACCTTCAAAACAAAGATGTTAATTCCCTTTAATCTAGCAGTGAGAGGGTCTCCTTGCCGTGGTAGATTATTTCCCAACCAATCTGATGCTTCTCTATTAGAAGCATTATTTTCCACTTTCTGTCCCAGTACAGAATCAGGAAAAGTGCCTTGCTGGCTATGTGACTGACAGCTGGGAGAGGGGAAAGAAGAGTGTGCAAGAAGGGACACTGTGCAAGCTGAAGGCTAAAGCACAGACGTCCTATTAGAGGATAAAACCACAACTTTCTTAATATGTGGAATACCCGCTCAATCCAACAGCATTTGTTCATTTGTTTACACTGTTTATTCTTTCCTTCTATTAAAGACTTTTTTTTTTACTCAGAAAAGAAAAATGTTAGTGTCAGCCAACAATGATTTGTTTAAGAAATTGGCAGTAGAGTTGGTGTGAAAGAGAATATTCACAAGGAAAACCATACAATTTACGCAGCACACACATTTATGTTTTTCCCCATTGCTATCGCTTGGAAAAATATTACCTGCCAGATGGCACACATATGCCTTTCAAAAATGAAAAAAAGGCTTGTTTAAAATAGAATGGCTATAATAACAGCATCTTCTTCCTAAATTAGAACTTCACCATGAGTGGACATATTAATCTGCAAATCTCCTGTACAACCATAACTTGCAAAATTATTTTACTGTGTTGTGCAAACACGGAGATAATCTACACTAACACTATACAGCAGACTGACAAGTTTACCCAGAATTACCATCAAGGTACTGTGGAAGCACCAAGAAACAGTTTTACAACTAGCAACTACTAATGCAGCACAGAAAATGTCAACATTTCCTTGAGAATCTTAAAAATCTTGATTAAGACTTTAAATTCTTATAGTAGAAAGGAGATGCAAATAAATAGCAACTCCGAATAACAGCCACTGCTCTATATTAATAGAGGCTCTCTGACAAAACAAACCTGAGAGTTCAACTAAATAATATACAGTAGATCATTCATCACTCACCACCGAACAGAAACATTAACCAGCAGATAATCTCCCTTCCCCAGGTAATTCATTCTGGGACACAGTACCGTACTTTGTGTGATGTCAGACTGGCTGGACTTAGCAGTGGACAGTCATTCCAAGCTGCTTTGACAGGTAAAAAAAAACATGTCTCTCTCTTTATCAGAAATGCATGTGGAACTTGGAGGGAAAGGACAACTTGAATGGATGAGAGGCAGCAAGAAAAATTGGTTGGATGCAGATAAGAAAGAACAGCAGGAACTGGCACTAGATAGGTGAAGAAGGTGGCATAACATTTTTTCATGGTGTACCTATAAATGCTAGTTCTCACTTGATCCTACTGCTAAAGTGTATATGATTTATTTAAAGGCTGTTTTACTTGCTCGTAAAAAATCTTTAAAAGGACTCCTGTAATGTTAACTATAAATATATTTATGTTTAACCTTTGGGTATTCCTTTACTGTACTGGATTTAGGGCATCACCCCTTTAAAAATATAAAAAATGAAGGAAAAAGCAATTAGCCACACATATAATCTGGGGGAGGCAGTCTCCCCCAACAACCACTCCACCTTCTCTGAGCTGAACATATTTGATAATCTTGATCCAAAGCAAAGCTTCTCTTAGACAAGATGCTCAGTGTAAACAAGTGGTGTTGGATGACGCATGAACATAAAGAAAATCAAAGATCTTCAATATGAAAGCTCAGATAAACAGCCACTAAAAGTTATTGAAAATGAAAACATGGCTTTTTCTCAGACAGCATTGTTTTACAGAGCCAGATAAAAGGGACGGGACCTTTGGACCAAAACCCATTCATTAAGACGTAGTGATTTTGGCACCTAGGGTGTCCCGTGCTGAATTTCTAAAAAGCCTAACCAAAATACAGTCCTTAAAATATCTCCCAGAATAGAGGACGAATGTCAGGCACATTTTGAATATCAATATTTAAAACAAGAAAACAATTGTAGCTGCTACAATTAAATAGCAGATATCAGTTCTACGATGTAAATATGCTTTATGGAGCTATATATATATTAATATATGTATATATAAAATACAAGAACTGATTAAGATTTTTATCTTATAATATACACATTCTGCATTTCACATTAAATTAAGAAAAACCATACCTTAACTTCTGCTCTTTTAAATGCTAAAAATGTGTTTGCAGAATCTGGCTTGGGTTTCTGTTCAGGTTTGCTGATGGATGGATCCTTTACAACTGGTAGAACTGTAGTTACTGAGGACGGCACAGGCTTTTGAGAGGGCTTCTGATTCTTTTGTGCCTGAATAATACATGGAACATAGAAATAGAAAACAAAACCTACAAGACCCTGTATAGAAACACATACACAGACTAGCTATAGTTTTTTGTTTTTTTGCTTCAGATGGTAACCCTTTTAGCAAATACATAATATGGTTTATTGAACAGAGCAAAATACACCAAATGTAACCTTTTTAATGATACACTATCCATCTCAGATGATCTGATTTACTGAAACTAAATAAAACAAATACAATGCAATATCACATTCTGGTCGCCTTTCCCTACTCTTAAATTTCTGAAAAGATTTTTTTTGTAAATTTTGGACCACAGAATGCCTACCATTCTTTTCATTTGCCTGGTACAGCGGGCACAATACCAGACAAGACGAGGGTCATTCACATCCTTATCTGTGACCTGGGGTTTGTGGCAGTCCTGATGGTACAGATTGTGGCATTCCTGGCATTCAACCAACACGTTACCAGAGAATACAGTCATTTGTCTGAAAACGACAAGTTTGATATTTTAGATAATCATTAAACATTAAAATTGCACAGTGCATTGGATTTTCTCGGCTACAGCTGTTTGATACCTGCTATAATACACCTTCTATGAGAGTATAGGGTAGCAAGATCAATTAATCTATAAGCAACCAGCCAGTGTAGTAAAATCCAAATCAAAATGTGTTTCACAGGGCATGAAAAACTATGTGATAAAATAGAGTATACAAAAAATGGTGCTTCTTGTTTTACTTGCACATTGCAAAGTTATGTGTCCAAGTTAACCATTATCCAACTTATTAATAGATCACATAAAATCTACGTTCTCAATAGAAAAATAATATTAAAAAAAATCATCACAAAAAGAAAACTGAACGGACTGTACAAACTCACCGGCACACAACGCAGGCCAGGCCCATCTCCATGGCAAAATCATCAGCACTGGTCTCATCATTCATCACACTTGAAAGACCAATCGTGATAAAATCCTTGCTGGTCTGCACAGTGATGGGGGAGGAACGGGCTTCTGGTTTCTCCAAGCAAGGTTTCTTTGGCAAGTCTGCTAGGTCACTTAGCTCCACCTTCAGCTAATACCAAACATATACATATTGAGAATAACAGGGAAACAATCACACATAAAATATTGTTACACTCATTTGGCAAGTAACATTTAAAGCTGAATAATGATTTAGGACTTGGCTGGACATGTCCCTTGAAATTTCAGACACGGTAAGTACCAATTACAGCTGACATATCCACTCTTTATTAACACTGTGGCAGCTGCTTACTTGTGGCGTCTGGACATCTCGTTTGTTACTAAATAGACTTTAAATTAGGGATTCACATTTTCGACAAATTAGCCATATAGCTTGGCAGCTGCTTCTAAGTGCTGCTACAAAGTGTATTTGGAGATATTCTGGAGATAGACTGCAGGTAATCTGAGGTACACAGAAGGTGGGAAAAAATAAAATAAAAATTAAGATTTGTTTGATTTAAACGGCAGACTTAGTTCAGTGTAATAGTTGTTGTGCATTTGTTTCATGCTCCACTTTTTGGAAGTTTGGATGTTTTCTAATCTGTAGACAGTTCTCTATATTACAGCAGGAGATTGTATTTTTGAAGTCGTAAATTTGTAAATTATCTGTTAAACAAGCAAAGGCTGGGACTGGTGGAAATCCACTGCCGAAGAGATGTCCTAGGAACGGCAGATGCATTACTGTAGGATCTGGTAGACTGACCGATATAGACAAAAGGCATACTGCACAGTCTGTGTCTCTACATAATTAATTTTTTGCACTTTCAGATTGTAGTGGTGTTACTGAGAAAGGCTCAGGCACCGAGTTTGTGGAACCACCATCCTCTATGCCTAAGGTGAGCAAGAGTGCAGCCAATGACAAAAAGGACAAGGTGAGGCCTGACAGAAAGCAGTTGTTGTTGGGGGATTCTATCTTAAGAGGTGTGGAGTTGAACAATAGTGGCTTTGTGAGATGTCTTCCTGGAGCTACTGCTCACAGAGACAGGAGACGTATTTGTAATATTGTTATGCAAGCAAAGCAGCAAGGGGAATTGGATGGACCTGTCCATCTAGGGACAAATGGTTTGGCTTGTAATAAGGTTTCTGAGGTAAAGGAACTTTGACAGACAACAAAGGGTTGTAGTCAACAGAGTCTATTCCAAGCAAGGTCTAGTTACTAGTGGGGTACTCCAGGGATCTGTACTTGGACCCATTCTCTTTAATATTTTTATTAGTGATATTGCAGAAGGTCTTGATGGTAAGGTATGTATTTTTGCTGATGATACTAAGATATGTAACAGGGTTGATACTTCTGGAGGGATAAGCCAAATGGCAAATGATTTAGGTAAACTAGAAAAATGGTCAGAGTTGTGGCAACTGACATTTAATGTGGATAAGTGCAAGATAATGCATCTTGGATGTAAAAACCCAAGGGCAGAGTACAGAATATTTGATAGAGTACTAACCTCAACATCTGAGGAAAGGGATTTAGGGGTGATTATTTCTGATGACTTAAAGGTAGGCAGACAATGTAATAGAGCAGCAGGAAATGCTAGCAGAATGCTTGGTTGTATAGAGAGAGGTATTAGCAGTAGAAAGAGGGAAGTGCTCATGCCATTGTACAGAACACTGGTGAGACCTCACTTGGAGTATTGTACACAGTACTGGAGACCTTATCTCCAGAAGAATATTGATACTTTAGAAAGAGTTCAGAGAAGGGCTACTAAACTAAAGGAAAGGTTAAAGGATCTTAACATGTATAGCTTGGAGGAAAGACGAGACAGGGGAGATATGATAGAAACATTTAAATACATAAAAGGAAGCAACACCATAAAGGAGGAGGCTATATTTAAAAGAAGAAAAAACTACCACAACAAGATGACATAGTCTTAAATTAGAGGGGCAAAGGTTTAAAAATAATTAAAGTATTACTTTACAGAGAGGGTAGTGGACGCATAGAATAGCATAGCCTTTCAGCTGAAGTGGTAGAGGTTAACACAGTGAGGGAGTTCAAGCATGTCTGGGATAGGCATAAGGCTATCCTACACTTAAGATAAGGCCAGGGACTAATTAAAAGTATTTCGAAAATTGGGCAGACTAGATGGGCTGAATGGTTCTTATCTGCTGTCACATACTATGTTTCTAGCCATGATTTAATTTTACTAAAAATCTCAATGGTGTATTTAAATTTACACAGCATGCATATCACATTAACCTTTGTAGTGCCACTGAAGAAATGCCTGAGTGCACATACGCTCATACAGCATTACTGTGCTGATGATCAAACACCCTACAGTATGATGATTGACAATGTCGCCCTGAACACTGTAGGGCCACAGAGATATGTTTTCTGATTACTTTTGCAGCACTATTCACCACCAAAAGAATTTACCGGGGTAAGTTAACGAGAAACAGAATGGAAATTATCCTTACCATGGTGTTACTAACGTTCTCAACACAGAAATAGGAAACACATGGTAATACTGTAGTGGACTACTACCTTGTCAGCTGATCTCTTCTCTGCCTCCTTCTTCAACTTCTCTGGTGGAAGAGATTTGCTCAGAATGCCACTCACAGATGAGCTGCTGCCTTTCACTTCTGGCTTCGGTTTGGACATTGTTACTTTGGGTTGGTCAATTTCCTTAAAATGTAAGTTAAAAAGTAGTAATTACTACAAGGCTCATAAATCAAAGTAGATTTTAGTTACTTCGTCCCTCAAATGACTTATCATTGAGTCCTCCTTGCTCCGGTTTAGGGCTCACCCTTACCTAATACTTATACATATATGCACAATTATTAACAATTGTGAGCTAACTGTAAGTTTTAACATTTAGGTCAAGATAGCAGAGTGGAAGAATTTTTTCATTTTATCCCTTAAAAGTCTGTAGTTAGGTTGCCAAGTGGAAACATTTAAATATTTTACTTGATGCCAAGGCATGATAAGTGTTGTACTAAACAGAAAAATAACAGTTTTATAAACAGGTGCTAGGTCAGTCACATAGTATTCGGACTGCGGTCAGACAGAGTTTTAGAATGCCAGTTTCCAGAGTGCTGCTTAATTACTAAATATCATTAACAAACTACATGTCTGGATAATGTTCTATAATCCATGTCAGGATTCAATCAGAATCAGTATGTGGTCGAAATTTGCAATATATGAGCCTTTTAAAAAGGCACATGGATCCTGTATCATCTATTCAAAATGTGTTGCTCACTTTCTGAGGAGGTCGATAGCCAGAGTCAATGCCCCTGCACAGAGACTCATCCAGTAACGCCTTCAGTTTTTCAGCCGAGTCCTTGCTCTTGGAATGAAGGTAACCAAGTGCCTTCAGAAAAATTGGATCTAGTTCAGTGTTTATCACGGCTGCCATGATGGGAACCTGAAAGGCATGAAATATAAGAAGTTCAGTCCCAGAGGTAGAATAAGGTGAATACATTGGCGATTTTATTTATTTCACCATTTTGAAAATGCAACACAATAGGGAGCAATATTTCACAATGTTACTGTTAAACAAACAAAACACAAACATATTTTTTTTGCAAAGCTCTGTACTAATGCATGTATTAAGTATTGATTTAACTAGTGCCACATCAGCTCAAAATGTTATTCAAACACACATCTAACAATTCTACACGTTATTCATGGAGCAGTCAATATTAATATACACATACTGTAACAGTTATTCAGTCGTGTGACTAACTAAACTGATTGTGCTGATTTTCTTTCCCATGGGCTAAGCTACAATCAGAAGTCAAAAGATCATAATCCTCACTGCACTGAATTTGATAAGGTCCAAACTGAAAGAATACAGGCCACATGCATTAATCTGCAGAATTCCCACGGCAATTGTTTGTATTACACCACTTTTACAAGATAAACAAATTTTAATGAAGTTTAAACTGTTTTTTTTGAGAACCATAATGCATACATTAATAATAAATATATGAATAACAACAACAAAGTTTTTAACCAGGATAGGTACATTCAGATTACTCTCGTTTCCAAGTAGGTCCTGGCGATGTTACTTTTGCCCAATATCTAGTCAATTTAATTGTACTCATTATACCTACCTCGGAAGGATGAAGGGCTGAGTGAGCCCTACAGGAAATTGAGCCTATGACCCACAAGGGGTTGAACAGATTCTAGTGATGATGCATTAGCCCACTGATGCATTACCCCAAACAAAAAGGTGTTTTCATAAAACACTCTTTTTGGTTAGTTACCCTTGCTTTGCTCTTATGCTCCCCACTTCAAAAATTTAAAACAGAGCTAATTAACTTTATCTGTTCCATCTCTGAGGTCAAGTTCTCCCTACAGCTTGATCTCCCTCTATAGATGTCACACCCCTTTTTTCTGCAGGGATAGGGGCTATGTTGGCATCAGATGCCTATCACCAACCTTCTGTTTATGCTGCCACCAGATGTCAAATATGCACAGAAATAATTACAATTCATTCAGCAAAGGAGTTTATTTTTGTATGTGCACCATTTAATACTGAAACAAAAAAAGAAAAAAAACAATATTGGATCAGTGAAGACAACGGAACCAACACACCAGTAAGACACTCCAGGGGTGACAAAGGGCCTGACCCTTAGTTATTGAGAAATGCAAATTAAGGGCACTAATTCACTTAGGTGAAGAAATGCCACCTTGATATGATGGATACATCCTATAGAATCATGCTGATTGTGGGTGTAAAGTGCTAAAGCTCCCAGCCTAAGTGAAAGACAAAAAGTCAAAAGTCAAGAAAAGATAAATAAAACAAGCCCTGTTAGGCTAATCCCTATCCTATTATCCCCCTCTAGATTACAAAGGGATTATATATATATACACACACACAACATACAAGTAAGAAGAGCAGTCAACAAGGTTTTTAAAATGGGCTCTGCTCAACCACAAATAAAGGTATCAAAAGTAAAACATAATATATGACCCAAAAACTGTCAGGGGATAACAGCACATTAAGAAGTGTACGCAAAACAGGCCTATAAAATATCATCCAAAGCACAATAGAATAACAACGAGTCCTATACTGTTAAGTGTAGAGCAAACATCTAAATAATAACTTAAATAGTCCCATAATCACAACAGGGCATAATGGCAAAATGGAGTAAAAGCCTAACAATGCAAAACACACACAGGAAAGCAAGACACAAAATATGTCACATGGGTGTATCAAAAAAGATTAACATGATGACTGAAAAGCCTACTTTTCTGTGAGTCTAACTCAGGGGTAGTCAACCTTTTAATACTGACTACCCACTTTTGTATCTTTGTTGATGGTAACATTTCCTTACCGCCCACCAGTGCCACAGTAAGTCATTTTATATAGCAAGCGATTTTTTTTATTTTTAGAAAAAATATATACTTAAATCTATCTATTTTTTTTCTATTCTACTTTTTTTCTATGTGTGTCTGTGAGGTGCTGTGTGTGTGTGTGAAGGGTGGTGTGTGTTTGTGTATGTGTGGGAGAGGTGCATTGTGTGTGAAGGGTGCAGTGTGAGTGGTGCTGTATATGTGTGAAGGGTGCAGTGTGAGTGGTGCTGTATGTGTGTTTGTGTGTGGGTGATGGGTGCTGTGTATGTGTACGAAGGGTGCGGTGTCTGTGTGTAGGGTGCTGTGTGTGTGGGGCGGGGCAGTGTGTGCATGTGTGGGCAGGCAGTGCCTATGTGGGCAGGTAGTGGGTGTGTGAGGGGGACAGTGTGTGCATGTGTCAGGGTGCTGTGTGTGTGAAGAGCTTTGTGTGTGACATGTGAAGTGCTGTGTGTGTGTGTATGTGAGGGGTGTAGTGTGTGAAAGGTGCATAGGGTCTATGCTGTGTGTAGGTGGGTGAGATGTGAAAATCTCTCTTAATGTCTCCCCCACCATTTTTCGTAATTTTTACCGGGGGGTGGGGGTGGGGGAGAGGATAATGCTGCAAGCCCTAGTGGTCGAGTGGTGGCATGTTCAGTTTAGCATGCAGCTCCTCCGTCTGCAGGCTGACTCACCTGTGAGCAGAGCACTGTATTGGAGCGTTGCCATGGTAATGCACGGCCACGCTCCGACCAGCCTGCTCGTGGGAGGAACACAGAGCCTCCCAAGCCCTTTCCTCCCTCTGCTGGAACTAAGTGCTAACAGGCTGGTGAGGAGATCTCACCGGCCTGAGGGGGTTTACATCAAGGCTGGCTCTCCATGGGCCGGCAGGGGAGTTGAAAGGATCTCTTCTGCCAGCCTTGGTCCACAGCCAGCGAGGCCCACCGGGCGTTTTCTGCAGAACCCACCTGAAATCCCAAACCGCCCACTAGTGAGCAGTAGGGACCAGGTTGACTACCCTTGATCTAACTAAACAGGATAGGGATAAAAAATAAATAAATAAATAATAGAAATAGATACAAATACAATTAGATAATCATAATTGTGAAGAAAGAATCACCAAGTGTATGGTGAATTAGGTGAGGTAAGGTGCCCAAGAAAAAGCAAGTAGTTCGACGCGTGTTTCGGTGCAGTATATCGTCAGGGGAAAACTTACACTGGGGAGAGTCCTCCACATATAGAGGAAAGTCCCAGGTGGGGACATCTAAACTTAAGCCAATTGTCCGAACTTCCATCATAAGGGACGTGGTAAATATGAGTACCACCTCAAAGTATAGACCAGCCAACCGTCTGAAGCAGAGAGGAACTATACCGATACTTGAATGAATAGCTCCACCCATGATACATTGAGCTGCTTTCGATTCTCTTAGGGACTTCAACTCATAATTATTCATTATGTGTTGCAAGTTGAACAATTCCAACACAGTTAATATGAGTATTTCACAAAGATTTTTATCTTTATGAGATACACATTTTTCAAAGTGGGTGATAGTTCCGCTTTAATATTGTGGCTGATCAGTGTATAAATAGACTGAGAAAGGCTTTTGTTTTGCTTTGTCAATTGAGGTTGTCAATTACTGTCCTTCTGATAGGTCACTGGCCAAACCATAAAAAAAAAAAAACCACATTGAGAGAATAGTTACACCTTTAACCAAGTTATTCCCCTCAACAAACAATAACCAAACAATAAAAAGCCACTTCCATCTTACTGTAGAAATTTGTGAAAAGCACCACTATTTTACTTTTAGTAGCCCCATCTAAATCACCTAGGTGACAGTGGAGTGTCCTACCTCATATATGCACAATGGGCCTAACCCTGCCTAAAAACATTCATCTATAGCAGTGGTTCCCAACCCAGTCCTCAAATACCCCCTAACAGTCCAGGATTTAGAAGGAAAAAAACACTTTAGACACAACAGGGTAATCCCTAAATCCTGGACTGATGGGGGATACTTGAGGACTGGGTGGGGAACCCCGGATCTATAGCATTATATACTGTGCGTAATGCCTGTGTCCCTTTCTCTAGTCTCTGCACTTCCTGTTGCTAATCTGCTCTTCTGGCTTCCTGACCTTTGGTTCAGGTCCTGGACTACACCTCTTTGTAAGGGTTTCTTAAAAATCCTGCATACTTCTTTATGAATGGGTACTAAGACATGGCTTCACAAATTTGCTTGGAATCTAGAAGCCAGATAAAAAAAGTTAAAAACCAGATTTTTCAACGTCAAAAATACAATTCTTAAAGGGACACTATAGTCACCAGAACCACTACAGCTTAATGTAGTTGTTCTGAAGTCTATAGCCTGTCCCTGCACAAAAGGAAATGAATAGTTACACATCTAGTAACAGTCACTCAGATGGCCACTAGAGGTGCTTCCTGGGTCAGTACAGCACCTATGTTCAGCGTCCACACACACAGGCTCTGCATGGAGATGCTAAATATTACCCATTAGAAAGGAATTGATTCAATGCATCTCTATGAGGAGATGTTGACTGGCGCAGGATTGCATTTTCCTGCACATGCGCAATAGTCTACCAATGCTTTCCTATAGGAAAGTATTGGATTGACTGAGATTGTCAAGAATGATGATCTCAGCCATGGGGGTGGAGACAGCCGCTACCAGACCATCACAGTGTGGGAAAAAAGGTGAGTAAGAACACCTTTACCATGTGACTGGAGGGTTACCAAAACAGACAAACACACAAACTCACTGACAGACACACACACACACACACACACACACTTACTGATGTGACAGACACACTCTCACTGACAGGCACATACTCGCAGACAGACACACACTCACTGATGTGACAGACACACAGAGAATGATACTGCAACACGTACATTTTCACATACACTCACAAATTATTGTTTTATTTAAATTTGTACATCCAGTCTCCCTACCTTTGGGAGAGCTGGAGTAGATCGGATTTCCCTAGGGTACATATTTTTGCTCTACTCCCTAGAGTGCCGTTTAGTGATGCTGGGGCCGGATTGATATTCTGGCTCCTGGCATCAGTGGAAGGCAC